CTCATTTATACAAGTGCTTCTGAATTTAAAAGCAACAATTTTGACTTTGTGATTTTGAAAATGATTAACGTTTTCCCATAATACACCGCTTTGAATTTTACCGGCTGTCAGTAAATATTACTGTGTTTAGCAGTTTTTCCTTTAAACACTGCTTTATCTTATTTTTACACGAAAAGCAAGTGCTTAGTGCAGTGATTGTGTGTTTTTTGCATTCTTTTGTTGATGCCGATATAAAACAAATATACCTATTAAAAGAATTTAAAGAGCGCTACTGTGCCACAATCCTTGACAGAATAAGAACCTCAATCCCTTCAAAGTTATTCAAGTAACGCCAAAGAACCATCTTTTTCTTATTGCGGTCAAACCTCCATGTGTTTTTCCGGCATTATGAAGTTTTTCATATAAAGTATCAGCCGTTTGGAGGCGACCTGAAGCTCAACATTAAGGCGCGCAGCCCCCATAGGAGGAGTGGATCGCACTTCTAAGAAAGGTGTAAGCTCCAATGGAAGCATATACTTTTGCCGAATAAGAGTTTGGAATCAAACCCACATCTTTTTCACATCATCCACATTTTCATCAGCTTTGCTTTAGTTTGATATAGATCCCTGTTCATCTATTTGTTTGCCAATTTTAAGAATTTAAATAACTCATTAGTGTGCGCAACACATAAAACAAATAAAGCTTAGGAAAAAGTATGCAATCGTTGGTAAATGCAACTGTGCGAACTAAAATTGCAAAATATTAAATATGGTAAACACTTGAGACCACTGACAACAACTTTCATATTTGTGTACCTTGTTATCGTAATGAAAGACAAATACTATTCATCGGCGTGCCTAGATAAAAATGTGACTTACATACAGTTATGAAAATGCCTCAGAAATTAACAAGGTACAAGTATCTACAAGCTTTTCTTTTTTGACTGAAATGCAATTAAGTATTAACAGTATTGTTGCAGACAATAGCAGCAATAAGGCAACTGTAAGAAACGGGTATTTGTTATATTGCTTAATATCCTTTTTCAATCTTTGAAAACCAGGAGAAATGAGAGGTCTGAAAAAATATCAACTATTTTCAAATAAAGTTATGTATTATTTTTCTTTTTATCCGAAGATTATGTCTTGTTGACTTCAAGGCTTTCAGTGGTTATGTATCATGAAAATGAGCATCTTATTAGTGTTTGACATGTACAAAGTCCCAATAAAAGTGAAAAAATTTGTCATAAATGAAATACGTAGTCATAAGATGAACTCAATTTGTGAAGAGAAGAATATCTATGATAATTACCTTTTAAAATGAAAATCTAAGCCAAGTTCTCTTTTCATTAAAAACTTCCATCGACCAACCGCAATTAACATGTGGGTGTTTACTAAGATCTTTATCAAAAGGTTGAATCCATTTCTGCTTGATTGAAGTTTTCTATTGAATCTTTCTGACTGAGTGAAGTAACAAGCTATTACTCTGGTATACATACTCGTATATCATCAGATTAGACCAAAAGAACTTGGTGAAGTTGCACTTTAATACTTAGTCTTGCCATAAATTCTGTTACAAAGTTAACAATACATGCAGCGAGGTCAAATTAGGAGAAAACAATTTTATTATCTATGATATAATTTGTATGCAGTGTCTACTCATATACTTATAATTATCAGTTTAGTGTTTGCTTTCGCTTATTAACAATGGAGTGGGAAGCTAAAAAAATCGTATAGCAGGCCATGCTTTACATCAGTATGGCAAAGATGAAATATATGATAGATAAAATTTTATAAGCTTCTCAAAAACCTTAATATTTCGAGAATGTTTCTATACCGCACCATTGATCGTTTTTCACAAACTTATACAGTTGATGACAGAAAGAGAAGTGGTCGTCCGCTTTAAAATTAACTGTTTAAAAAACTGTATTATAGTTTCCTTTATTATAACGGTTTGAACTTGTAACAGAAAATACTTTCACCTACAATCTGCGAATATTAACCTTCAGCTCTATTTTATATGGCTAAGCTCTAGTTAAAAATAAAAAAATGATATAGAGCTTCGAAAAGTTTTGAAATCTGTCCTGTAATTCGCTATGTCTTCAGAACTGCAATGCTTTTCAAGTGGGAAGGATTTTCTTCAATAACCTGCTAATTTTTAGAAAGCAACTGTATTCAATTATGTGATATGTATGTGTCCTCTTATTCACACTTGTTGCAGGCAAAATTGCGACAAACAACGTTGATGCCTGTGACATTTGTTCGGTAAAAGCGAAGTGTTGTGCAAAGGGAAAAGTTGACATAAAAGGCTACCGACCGGCAAATTAAATGCTTACTTATGAATATGAGTGCTTTTATGGTTACATACATAAAGCATTTCAATTACAGTAGCAACAAAAGTGTGCATATACATATAGATGTACATACATATATTATCCATACACAATTGACGGCCTTTATTTGTTGAAGAAAAATTGAGGGCTCTTGCAGAAGACACCACTGACACACTGACCATTTTGAGTAAGCAAAGGGATCTTAATGCAAAGTTTACATTTGATTTACAAGAATGCATACTTAATGTATATTATTGACATGAGTGGGTGTAACCATGTAGCGGTTATCAGTAAATTACAACAGAAAATAATTTTTCGGCACTATGGCTCATTAAATATTAATAGTCCACAGCTACTGATACCCATAGACACTGAATTAAGTACATACATATATACTTTTATAAGATAATTTATATTATTAGCAAAATAATATCTGTAGTGGCTACAAAACATATATAATTTTATTTATTCAAAGTTAAAGCTTGAAAGCGAGAATTCTATACCGAAATGTCAAACTGACTGTCAATTTCGAAATGTCGCACTTTACCTAGACGATGCTTTAGGAATTCAATATTTGTTTTATCACTTTATTGTTTAAAAAATATTATTTTTAGAGTATATTTTCTGTGTAGTAGTTCGTATATCACTCGAAAATTTGCATACATCCGTCAAAATGCCACCTCACCCGATCGCCTCACTATTCCCTCAAGCAATTTGTTTATGAATATTAATTTATTATTGTTTCTATTAATGGCTACGACCCACCCACCAATGGCACCCCACCAGCCTGTGACATTTCGCATGCAAAGTGAGTCAACATCGGGTGTCACATTTATACACCAGGCGCCCCAAACTGGCGTAGTCACAAATTAAGTACTTTCATTTGCCAACAACACTTGCCATATACAAGTATTAAGCTTTTTATTTATGTCTTACTATTTTCAGTTTTGCTATCTTAAAGCAAATCATTTAATAATAACAAATGTGTCCCAAAACAAAATATTAGCAATAATTGGCTAACAATTGCATTGAACTATTTCAGAGAAAAAATAATTAAACCGAATTAGAAATAACGTATTTAGCTAAACAGTGTGAATGATGCAACATTATTGTTGACGAATTTCTTCTCTGCAATTTATGTGTATACCATATTTGTATAAAAATTATTGTCAGTATACCCTGAACAGGGGAATATTAAGTTTGCGACGAAGTTTGGAGCAACCCGAGAGAAACGTCGGAGGCTCCATAAAATATTTACATACATATGTTTGTATATATACTAGGACTCTTAAAATTTTTCGAATAACCGATTAATCGAATATCGTTTGTAAACATTCGTACGAATATTAACAGTATAATACTATTCGAATAGTCGTAACATTGCGGCTATTCGAATAGTCGTTTAACTGAGAGTATTTGCCTTTTTTTTTTTTGAACGCTTCGATTAGTAGAATAGTCGACAACGAACGGTTAACCGAATAGTCGAAAATGAGCAGTTAATAAAATAGTGGACAACTTACGACTATCCGGATAGTGCTAACCGAATATTATTATTCGAATAATGCCTTTTCCGGTTAATCGAATACCAAGAGCTCTAATAAATACATATGTATATAAATGATCAGCATGACAAGCTGAGTGGATTTAGCCTTGCTTCGCTCAATTCTTAAGATATTGGCCTGAACATTTTTTCTGTCATCCTATGCCAATATATTATATACATACATCATATATGTATATGAAGGTATTACGTCGAGTTATACGAAATCAGAGTATGCCCATAGAAACATTTTCATCTGTTTCTATTAAGATGTCTTACATATTCACGCTAAAACGAGAGCGGACTGATAAGTCCTTAGCCTATAAAAGATATACGACGATTTAAATTTAAATTTTTTTCAGCCAGGGGCTTTTCAGATTTGGAAACGAAAAGAACCAATTTGGTTGTGGCGAAAATAGAGGTGTGGGTCGAAAAGCACTGTGGTTCGCCAAATGAGTCCATTTTTCTACAGTTTGACGTCGAATCGACCCAATAATTCGGCATAGTACAGTTCTGTTATTGCTGCGCTCTTTTCAGGAAGTCGATATAAATCACACGTAGTGCATCCCATATCGGATAGTCTTCGCTTTATTCAACGCAGATTCGCCAAGTGAAGTCCACTGTTTCGAATGTTTATTGTTTTCTGGATGTGTAATAGTGAATCCATATTTTGTCACAGTCATGAAACGGTGTAGAAATTCCTTCGGATTGCCCTTAAACAGCATTAAATACTGCTGTGAAGAACTCTCAGCACTTTGCTTGTACCAATCGCGGCTCCCCTCACACCGACAGCGCTATTATACCCAATATTCCATCTAGGATATATTGTCACGTATCATCATCCATGGTAGTTGTTCTTGGGACACCTGGTTGTGCCTTATTAAAAACCCACGTTCGACTACATTGACACTCGTTAAACAATTTTTGGCTTTAACCATCGAAAGAGAAGAGTCACAGCATACATCGTTGTTAATGACATTTAACAAGAAAGTATATAGTAAGTATTACAACAACAATTCGAACAAAATAATCGCCAAATATAACATTTTTAATTTATAGATATTTTATTGTACCTATATTATATTTTTTATATATGTATACATATTTAGCTGATAACTGACATATATATATTTAAATTACGAAAGTACGGGGAAATAAGAGTCCACAGATGTTAATTATAATAATAATTGCAATTTAAACAATTAAGTGCACTAATTATATATTATCTATTTTTTTATTAAACTAAAGAATGAGAAATAATCATTCAGGACTCAATGAACGGCCCTTATGTCGCGGAAGCATTACATTCATTTATGAACGCATTACGTAGCAAAGGCTTGCTTGGTCAATAAAAATGTATGCCCACATATATTACTAATATCATGAATAACCTGATATTTATCGTATACTGCAGTTAATAAAAATTTAATTATACCTAAATTACATATAATAATTAATATACAGTTTGTAAAAGAAAAAAGCGTGTGTAATAATAGTTTAATTTATAGTACTTTTAGAAAGTAACTTCGAAATGCAACCCTGGCGTGCAGCGTTTAACTCCGTTATTTGACACTGACCCGTTTTGACATTTCAGCACTAATAAAAAACTGCAACAATTGTTTGCTATTCTTCCGTCTTTCTTCAATAAAAATGAAAATAAATAAATAAAGAGTGAAAACATTAAAGTTTTAAAGACGACAAAGTATTTAACAGCATTGAGGGGTGTAGAATGGAAACAGATGATTTGTCGCATTTAACCGAAGAGTACAGACTGGATAACACAGATTTGGGTGAGCATATGCAAAAAAATAAGAGGAATAATTACTATTTTCGGCAAATAACGATAAACTTTTACAATTAACAGATAGCATAATGACGAATGAAATTTTTCAACACAATTTATATCTGGACGATCAAGAAGTAGATGAAAATGAGCCCGATGATGTTATCATTCTGCATATGGACATACGCGAGCCATTGCGGACATTGCAGTGAGTAGGAGGGGAACTCTGCACTTCCTGCCGCAGTACAAAATTATACAAAAATTTAATACTTCATCAATTTTGTTGCTCTACTAATTGCAGAAAGCTGGCTGAAAAGAAGATTGGCATGAATTTGAAAGGTTACAAATTCTTTCTTCAAGATACACAAGAGGTTAGCTGTGATATTAATTTTTTTTTCAATTCTGTTATAATTGTGAAATTTACTTTGTGTTATGTATGACAGCTGGAACCTCATAAAAATCTTGTTGACCAATGCGTGAAAGGTGAAGGATTGGTACAAATAAATGTACAAATACAAACCGCAGAGCAGCACATAAACATTGTTGATGTGCTAAAACCAACGGAGGCGGCGTTGGGTAAAAAATTGCAATTACAATTTTTTTTTTTTTTATTACTTACCCTAAATATGTTTCAATTGCAGCTGCTTTAGCCGCTGAAGAAGCAAACAACAAAAATGGTGATAAGAACGAGGACTCCGAAGAAAAACCTTGCCTGAACTGGGTTTTAGACAATAAATTTAAGAAAGAGCAAATTCGTCTTAAAATACCAGAAGATCCTAATGAGTGGACAACTGTACAGGTGAAACACTGGTTTCAATGGGCTGTAAGGCAATTTGAATTGGTGAGTGTAAAAAATTAAATACTTGAATAGAGTAACAATAGTTAATGTGGGAAATCGATCAAAATAATCAGAAGCGATTTATTGGTATACAGTTAATTTAAAAAGCTCATTTATACAAGTGCTTCTGAATTTAAAAGCAACAATTTTGACTTGTTATTTGTGATTTTGAAAATGATTAACGTTTTCCCATAATACACCGCTTTTGAATTTTACCGGCTGTCCAGTTTTTCCTTTAAACACTGCTTTATCTTATTTTTACACGAAAAGCAAGTGCTTAGTGCAGTGATTGTGTGTTTTTTTTTGCATTCTTTTGTTGATGCCGATATAAAACAAATATACCTATAAAAAGAATTTAAAAAGCGCTACTGTGCCACAATCCTTGACAGAATAAGAACCTCAATCCCTTCAAAGTTATTCAAGTAACGCTAAAGAACCATCTTTTTCTTATTGCGGTCAAATCTCCATGTGTTTTTCCGGCATTATGAAGCTTTTCATATAAAGTATCAGCCGTTTGGAGGCGACCTGAAGCTCAACATTAAGGCGCGCAGCCCCCATAGGAGGAGTGGATCGCACTTATAAGAAAGGTGTAAGCTCCAATGGAAGCATATACTTTTGCCAAATAAGAGTTTGGAATCAAACCCACATCTTTTTCACATCATGCATATTTTCATCACAAAAAAAAATAATTACATTCACAACTATACTAAGTAAAAGAAAGTATCCTTAAGCCTTCTTTAAGTTTAATGATTTTTATTACCCGTATTTCATAAATATTTCAGAGTGGCGTTAGCTTGAATGATTGGACCATGACGGGAAAAGAGCTTTGTTCACTAACACATGAAGAGTTTCGTCGAAAGTTACCCAAAGATCCGGGTAATGTGTTCTGGACACATTTGCAATTGCTTAAAGAATGCAAATTTGTCTCCGTTGTACATAAAGTGGCTGAAGATCGTGGCACAACCGGTACGACTGGTACGAAACCAAGTACCACTGCTAGTGGTGTAATAACGGCACCAACAAAAGAATTAAAAATAATGCGCAAAACAAGCGTAAGCGCCACAAAAACCTACTGTAAGAAATGCAAGTAAAATAAATATTTAATAATATTTCCTACTAATAATCATAATAATATGCTTACAGCACCGATAGTACCTACGGATGGTTCACCAACACACACCGTACTAAACAACAACAACAACACCGGCGGTAATAGTGGCATCGGCAATAACTATGGTGTTGGCTCCGGCAACAATGGGCAAGTACAACTGTGGCAATTTCTGCTCGAAATTTTAACTGATCGTGAACATCGCAACATCATACAATGGGTTGGCACCGATGGCGAATTCAAGCTCATCGATCCGGAGTGCGTGGCACGTCTGTGGGGTATTAAGAAGAATAAACCGGCAATGAATTATGAAAAGTTATCACGTGCCTTGCGCTATTACTACGATGGTGATATGATATCGAAAGTGTCGGGCAAACGGTTCGCTTATAAGTTTGATTGTGATTTGAAGCTGTTGATTGGCTATGATGCCGGTGAACTGGCACAATTGGTCAGTGAGAAAACCTTTTTAGACGAGTCGATGTTTTTGAAACATGAATCATTGCAAGATCACTTAAAACAATTGACAGACGATGGGTGACATGGACAACATGGCGCATATGCCGAATTTAAAGTGAAAACAGAACCGGTTTGCACATTAGAAATAGAGCCGTACCTCGAATATGAGGATGAAGATGAAGAGGATAATTAATTAATGAATTGCGTTTTGATTTCTCATTTACGTTTTTACTGCGACAAAATATTTTTTTATTTACATTATTGATATACCACAACATATGGCGTTAAAACAACAAATGAAAAATATAATTTCAGCACATTATTTAACTTATAAAAAGCAAACGTTATTTTATTTGTGATTTTTATTTTTTAATATTTTCTTTTTTTTTTACCCTAAACAGGGTATTATAACACCCAGTAGAAAAAGTCAGAGACCCTACAAAGTATATAAATATATGTATGTATATGATCAGCGTGACGAGTTGAGTCGATTGAGTCATTATATCTGTCTGCCCGTCCGTCTGTCTGTATATACGTGAACTAGTCCCTCAGTTTTTTAAATATAGATCTGAAATTTTGCACATTTGCTTTTCTCCTCAAGAAGCTGATCATTTGTTGGAATCTTCGGTACCAGGCCACTATAGCATATACACCGAAGTGCACCGGTGAAGGGTATTATAGCTTCGGTAGAGCCGAAGTTAACGTTTTTTATTTACCTTTTGTTTTTCTTCGCAACCAAAAGCGTGCTGTCGCTTTCGCAAATATTTAGTCAAAAATCATAAAGGATTTGTTTTTAAAATTTTTTTTTCAAATTAATTTATTTAAATATATTTTAAATTCAGCTTAACAAAACTTAAGTTTAAGTTGATTATGTTTTTATTTTCGTGGTTTTTTTTATATTTTTTTTATTGACTAGTTCATTTTTATATTTTCACATTTTTCAACTTATACGTAAAATAAGGCAACTCAGTTTATATTATTGTATTATGTACACATAAATCTATCACTATTCGCAAACATTTACTATAAACTAGGAATGTTTTTCTCAGCTTTCCAGCTCGTGGAAGCAAAGTATGTGTGTGCACAGTCGCTGCTTGGCGGTAACTGGGCGGCGATTTTTATTTTTTATTTGTTCGTTGGTGCTTTCTTTTAATTATAACTTTACCGTTATTAATTTTAATTATTTTTTGACAAACTACTCTATAAAACAGACAATAGATCCATGCTTGTGCAATAACTTTGTGCGTTTTACATGATTGCATACTGGTATAAATATGTATTTGTGACATTTAGTGAATTGTAAAAATTGTTTGTAAATATTTGTGGTTAAAAAGTGTATGTGTATACTTAGCATGTACACAATGTATTCTGTAGATTTTAAGCATATAATCGTTTATACAAAAAAAATAATACTTTTCAATTAAAATTATATTTTATAATATAAATTAAAGTATATACGCTAATCCATTTAAAATAATTAAAACAAAACTAACACAATAGCATATGAGAAACGAAACAAACAAAACACACAGCAGACATTATAACTCAGTCGTGATTTCGTCCTGCGGTCGAAAGCCCAATTTGTAGAATTCGTCTTCCAGCCATAACGAACTCGCATTGAGATCCGATATCAGATTGCCACTCTTGAGCGTGTTGAAACTGCTGCCGAAGGGATCGGACGGGCGTGGCTCCTCAAATTCATGCAAGCTGATGAGCGAGCCGAACATGTGCAACTTTTGTTGACCCGAGCCCGCCAACATGCTCTGCCTATAGACGTTATTCTTCTGTGGGAAGAACGTTGCATCGAAGTCATCGCTAATGCCAACACTGCTGCTGCCACGACCGCCACCGGAGGGCTGAAAGAAATCAATCAAATGACCTACTTGCGGCTTGTAACGCTCTAATGCTTGTTCGGACCATGTGTACAAACGATTCCAGTCGTGCGGCGCCGCCGGTATCAATTCGATTGGACGATTCAGCAGTATCAGTATTTTGGCAAGATCGCGTACTATCGGTCGATAGGAATTAGCTGCGCCCACCTCGCCCGACAAATACAGCTTGCGTATTTGACGTCGCGTATCGTTGAGCATCGCTAGGAAATATTCTGCATTCGGTCGCATTTCGTTGAGTTGTCGCAGAAAATCGGAACGATCCATAATATTCTCGTTGATCAGTTTCTGTTTGATCGATTTACGTCTACGTCGACGTCGCATCAACATCATCGCGACAGCTAATAGCGTGAGACAAACCACAAATCCCCCGATTAGTCCTGCAATAGCGGCCATGAGCGGACCCGAATAACCGGTGGAAACGCAGACGCGTCCCATAAATTCGGTATGTGCCGACCATTGGTCGATGTAACCGGAAGGACATAGCTCTACACACTGACGTGTGTCGGTCATTAGATAGGCGGGACATTTGATGCAACCCTCGCTGTTGCAGCGCAAACAATGTGAACTCGTTGTGGGTGGACAACCTGCAAGGAAAGACAAACATCATATTAGTTTCGTTAATTAAATAATAACCATTTAATTTTACTGTTACTGTGTAACTTGTTACGTGCGTATAAAAAACAAGAGTAAATTATTTTATTTCCTTTTTGGCCAACAAATTTTCTTTTTGTCCCTAAATACTCAAATTTATCCGTGAATATACAATTCAGAGTAAATAAGCCAATTAAGAATTGCTAATTATCATTGTCATTATCAGTTGGGCAATTTGTCATAATTACAATATTTAAATCAGTGAAATGACAATTATGTACTTAAATTCGATTTTGAATGTTGAAGCATGTATGAGCGTGCATAGGTTGGCTTTCTTTTAACGCTTAGGGGTATCTATCACTTATAATTACCTGAAAATGGAAATACGTATACAGTGGTGTAAATATAATGGAAATGAACATTATGTAGGTTTTAAATTAATATTAAAATTAAATATTATAAAGAAAAAATAAAGTATGAAACAAAGAGCACTGTCAATATGTATATTTACCTCCAGAAAATGCTGAAGAAATTGAGCTTTGACGAGATTTTAAGATAAATGGAAGGTAAATATTTAAGGTACTTTAGTACGAAGGAGAGATTTTACGGGAGCTCTTTTGAAAAAGTGGGCATGACTCCCAAACGATCGGTTGGTCAGAATGTATTAAAATGTTCGTATTTATGAGATGCGGTTCCCTTTTGATCTAAATCCATTATTTTCCCAATCGCTAGTTTTCGTTATTAATATTGCTTATTATTGCTCAGTATTGTATTAGCATGTGTCAATGATGGACACCAGAAATGGAAAAATATATCATATTTAAAATTTTTCTTCTATAAAGCGACCTGGCTGGCTGAAATTGTGAATATCAGCCAATTAGGCGTAATTTTGGATTCGTCGATCCATTCCGATAAATCTCATGTTAACGATGCACCACCTCTTGAAGGCCAATCGTTCGAAAATATCGATAAAATAATGGAATGGATCATTATCGAGTCGGACCGTTATAACGAAGTAATAAGGCTGGATACAAAAAGAGGCTTGGGGTACTGATGTCACACGATCTAACGGGAGCCACAAAATGGATTCTAAAGCGGATGCTTATGGGGAATGAAAAGTTGGTCACTTATGACAATGTATGACGGTCTGGTCGAATTGCGGTGCGCCGGTGCAAACGGTGGTCAAGTCAGCATTGACGGTCACGAACGTTTTGCTAACTGTTTGGTGGGAATCATCTTGACAGAATTTTGGTGACTCGTGAATAAAAATCTCAAGCGAAAAAATAGAAAATATTTTCTGTAAATGTGTTCGCTCTAGACATCCAATTCTAAGTTGGCTATGAAAAATATTCTTACACGAATGCTTCAGTCGTTCGGAAGACGCTTAGAACTAGTAGCGCCCTACAGTTTTAGGAACAACTTCAAATTCGAAAAGTTAAATTGTTGCCATAAATGCAATAAAAATAATTGTTTACCTATTTCGTCGCAAAGCACTGTATATACTCGTATGTACAGGTTGGTTGACGAGTTTCTGCTCTCACCAAGAACTAGCACCACACGCTTTCTTTGTCTGAAGTTGGTACATCTGTTGTGAGAACTCATCCAAAGTTACAAGTCATTCTGTCAATTAATTCTTTGTTGACAAGCTATTTGAAGTTGACGTGTCAAAGTCTTTTTGTTGTTTTTTAATATGGAAAAAATTGAATATCGCGCAGTGATTAGATTCTTGGTTTTGAAAGGTTTAAATGCAAAGGAAATTTATGAACAATTATTAGAAGATTGTAAGGAGTCCTCACTTTCAAAACAAAGCATTGAATTTTGCGCTGGCGAAGTTAAACGTGGTCGTACTAGGCTTGAAGACGATCCACGCGAAGCACGACCAAAAACCGCAACCACACCAGAAATCATTAAGCAAGTTCATAATATTGTTAGTGAAGTTACAAGTTTGACTAAGCTCGAAAGTGAGTACTTCATATTTTACATGGAGAATTACATATGAAAAAGCTGTTTGGAAAGTTAGTGCCGCACACGAAAACAAATTTCTCAGCATAACTTGGAGCGTTTTTAGCAGAATAAACTGATTTCTTGGAGAGACTTGGATCAGCCACAATGATCCTAAATCGAAACAAGAACGTTTACAATGGACTGAAGCTAGTTGTTCTGCTCCAAAGCTACAATGATCAGCAAAGAAGGTTATGGCATCAGTTTTTTGGGTGGCAAATGAAATTTTGTTGATAGATTATTTGCAGAAATGTAAAACAATCAACTCTGAATATTACTGCAGCCTTTTGGATCAGCTGGATAAAAAAAATTCGTGAGAAAGACCTGGTTTGCAGCACAAAATATATCGTATTTCATCAAGACATTGCACCTGCTCACAAAGGTGTTTTAACAATGACAAAATTCAACGAATTAAAGTATGAATTACTTGGCGTTCCACCGTATTCACCAGATTTGCGGCCCAGCGACTACTACCACTTCAGAAACCTGAAACAATTCCTTTGTGGAAAGCGTCGTTTTTCGTCGAATGAAGAAGCCATTCCAGCCGTAGACGGGTATTTTGCAAAGCTTCCGGAAAGTCATTATAGGGATGGCATAAAATTATTGTAGCATATTTAAATTAAGTGTATTTGTATTAAGAGAGATTATATTGAATAAAATAAAAATATATATTTCGTACCAAAAACAGTATTTTTGCATTTCGAGCGCAGAAACTTTTCAACACACCTGTACATACATATGTATTGTATATGCAAAAGCACTTGTCGCTTGGGCTTATAGATTTATAAGTGTCTATGTGTGTTCAAACAATTTAAGCTCATAAGCTTATCAGTTTGCGACAGTGGAACTCGGAGTAATCCAGCATAAGTGACACGCTATTGTGATAAAAGCATATTTATGTAGGTGCCCAAGAATGTATGCATATTAAAGTAGTCGGAGGCAAAAATAAAAGTGAATTATAAGAACCGCGACACATATACTCGTATATATACATTAGGGTGGAGCGAAACAATTATAAGTTTTTTCTTTTTAGCTTAGCCTGGGGGTAAAATCTGTAGATTAAAAAAAAAAAGAAAATTGTTGGCCAAAAAAAAAAAATTTTTTAACATCTAGAGGTCACATTTAAATTAAATTTCAATTTAAAATTTTTATTTCGTAAAAAAGCGTTAAAATACATTTTTAGTCAAAAAACCGTCCGTTCGGTAATTTTTATATAAATGTGAAGAGTTTAAACCAACAAAAAAAAAAATTCGCTCCAACCTAATATACATACATATCTGTACATTTGTGATAAATACACATGGCAAGTAATATAGCAACGTCTTTACCAAGAAGCGGTCAACAATTTGTTGTTGCTACAAGTGTATTCTGAGTATTGAAGTAAAGGAATTTCGACTGCCGACCGCGACAGCTGGGAAAGTTTAGTTAATATTCCACAGCGGCTTACATTTCAAAACTCTGTGCGCGAGTAAATATTTTGCAGAAACGCAAAAAAAACCAAACCAAATAAATATGAAGGCGAAGGTGAAGGGAGAGAATGAGAATACAAAGTAAACAAATTAAAAAAGGCGTGTAGCTTAATACAACAAACAAAAACATCAAAGACGCCGATGGCAGTAAAAACAAATGTCACATGCTCTTGCCAAGTAAAGAGCGGAGGCTTGCCAAGACAGTGGACCGAGCGGTCAGCCAAAATCAACGAAGTCAGTCAGAAAGCCAGCTGCTTGCTATTTGACTATTTGGCGTGGCTGGTAAAAGCGCATGCGCTCTAGCAATAATAATAAGTGTAAATATAGGCGCATTTCAGACCGTTGCAAAATAGTCCCACGTAGCGTGGCGTTGACAGAGCAATAAACGGACCAAAGCGGCGTAACAGCGTCGTAAAGTTAAGCTGCCAAGCAAAGGGCTCACATGCATTACATTTGTATATGCATAGGTACATAAATACATACAGACATATGAACATTGCGTGCAACGAGAATCATTAAATGTTGCCACGCAGCAGTTAGCGATCATCCACAGGCTCCAATGCTACACATGTACCAATGAGCCCCCAACCTGCATCATCGCACACATAAACAATTGCCACATTTTCAATTAATTTGCAATAGAGTACTCGTGTGTGTATGTATGTGTGTGCGTTTAACACAAATGCTGCGCATGCGTTGCTTGCCGTTGCTTTTTACTGCCATTCTCATTCCTGTTCTTATAAGTGTCTTCTTCTGTCATTCAACTTGCCAGCGCTCGCTTATCGATTGTTCTGCCGCGATAACCAATACTTCATGTGTTCAATAGGCAGACGAGCGAGTAGCCCTTCCGGCAAGCAGCCTAACCATCAAACATTCAATCCCGTCTGTCGTTTGGTCTTTTGCGTTTCTTGACGCGTACGTGTATTATTGGAATTAACTTGTTTATTCGCTAATAAGCTGGAAAATTATCCACCACACGCGGATATGTAATTGAGATTGACGTATGAACCAGCTGCGGCTGTAAATGACCCGTCGCAGCGTTCATCATCGATCGTTACACCGATGTGTTTGGACAAATAACCGAAAGCGCTGACGACGGCAGGCGGTGGTGTTGTTGGTGTCTCAGTGAAGCCGACGTTCCATCAATCCATCCATACATACACACATAGTTGAGAGTTGCTGCATTGCTCGTGGTCAGCTGGACGCTTGGCAGATAGTCACTTTTAATGATAGGGTATCGGTAGCAGTGATGGCAGGTTGGACGTTTGCTTGGTGCGAATAATTGCTTGAGAGTGTGTCTATTTATTTATTTGCGTGCCGACTTTTGATTGTTTAGCGGTTATTGATAGCAAATGTGTTATAATTAGTATGAAGTGAAATTTGTGCTTAAGGGTTTATATACAGTTGCGGGTAAAAAAAACGCGTTTTTTGTGAAATTTTTTGAAAAGGCATTTTAATTTATAAATAAGTAAACAAAAAATTTATATATTTATCGAATTTAATTTACTTTAATAATCCTGGCGGTGAGGAAATTTGAATGCGCAAAATTATCTCAAATCCAAAAACCAATAATTTTTTTTACTACAATAGATGATTTAATGATGAATAAATTTATTTGTA